GCATCTGTTACTTATATGGTAACAGTTACTATGGCAGAAGTTACTATGACAGAAGTTACTATGGCAGAAGTTGCTATCACAGAAAATTAAAAGGCATTAAAATAAGCTGCAACGCTTATTATTTTAATCCAATTTTGCTTATTTTAATCCATTTTGATATTAAAATAAGCAAAATTGGATTAAAATAATAAGGGTTGCAGCTTATTTTAATGCCTTTTCATTTTCTATGTTCTAATTGATTTTCATTTGTCCGAAATTGCAAATGACCGAACAATGGACAGAAATATTTCGTCTTGATTTTTAAAAGCAATCATACAAAAATTACCCATAAAATTTTGGTTTTACTTTTAAAAATCTGTCATGTTTGTTCGGTTATTTCGGCAAAATTTCGGACAAATGAAAAACAATTAGAAATTCTGTTAAATAATTTTTCGGTTAAATATATAAATTCTGTAATATATGAAATTATATAAGAATAAATTTACGATTTGTGGGGAAAAAAAAATTAATTTATAAAAATTATTATGCCTCTCATAACAAAAATCTCACAACAATAGAAAGTAATTGTTTCACGTAAAATTTATCATCTCGTAATAGAAAAATTTATATAGAGATTTTTATATATACCTATATGGTAAAAATACCTTTTTTATAATACTTTTTATGAAACTTTCTTATCAATAAATATTGCACAAGTTTTTCATTATATATTATATATTAGATTTTACGTTATAAACACATAAAAAAAAAGAAATGAAAGTTTCCTTTTCCTTTCTTTTACTATATATAGTAAAAAAGACATAAATTTAAAGACATAAAGATAATGTGACTTTAATTGATTGTTATAAGAATTGTAGAAAATATAATTAAATTTAAAAAAAAAATTAAATTAAAAAAATAAAATTAAATCGATTCTAATTTAGATAGTAAATCAAAATCAAATCCTTTGTATTAAGATTTTTGAACAATAGCTTAAAACAATTGCAACTATAAGTAAGAAACATAAAATTATAGGTTATGTTTATAATTTCATCTTCAAACTATCATAAAAATAACCTAAAATTTTTTTCTATTCATAAATTAAAAAAAAAATTTTTGAAAAAAATAGGCTAAGATAAAAAAAAACAAAATAAATAAACTCGTTTTTTGAAAAATGAATGCCAGAATTAAATATTCTTATAATCTAAAATTCTACATCAAGTCTTTATAGAATCTTAGATTTTTTTTTTGCGTTGTAGAATTGATTCGCTAGGAAGATAAGTTTATCTCTATATCTGAAATGTGACTAAATCACCTTAACTCCAGTTGAATATCCAATTACCCAGTGGCGCATATTACTATCATATTCTTTAGAATCAAACTTATTTTTATACTTTCCATGGCAATTTTTTTTTTTTTTATTCTTAAACGTACTTTTTTTAAAATATAAAATTTATTAAATTATAAAAATTATAAAATATTAAAAAATTGTAAAAATTATAAAATATTAAAAAATTGTAAAAATTATAAAATTTATATAAACTTATATAATAAATATATAAGAGAAAAAAAGGTAGTAATGTGGAGTAAAGAAAAACAAGATTTTTTTGTTTTATATTCTTGAAATTTCATAAGCACGAGGCCTTTGTTTTTATTAATATCTCTGTACAAAAACAGTCGAAAAAATTATAGATTTTCTTTTCGTTAAAGATTCAATTTTTTCGAGCTCACGGCATATATACAAGCGGTAAATCATAATATATATATATATTTATATATATATATAGAATATCATTTAAACCTAAAAACTAAACATAATTATACATTGATACATAATAGATATCATAATTATAGCATTATTATATAGTAATAGTAATCTACGAGAGTCTAGGGATTTCTGTATTTTTTTTTTTCTTGTACGTGTTCATGTATAGTTTGTAATTATATTGTACAAATTTAAAATAAAAAATAAATTCTTTGGAAAAAAAAAATATTCAACAAATCCATATTTGAAAAAAAAAAAAAATATATATAAATGTCAAATTTTTTTTTCTTCCATATAAAAAATGGAAAACCAGAAAAAAAGAGTTTTTTTTTCCCGAAGACCTTTTTTTCTGTTTTAAAATGCACATTTCATGTGTATGTGTGTGTGTGTTTTTTTTTCTATTTCTTTATTTATCCGTCACAAGTGAAAATTTGTCAGTTGTCAACAAATAATATAATAGATTGGACAAAGGCAACTGACAAATTTTCAATTTCAATAATTGTTTGTGTAAATTTTTTTGTCGTGTCAACCGTGCATAAAATAGATTTATACAAAATTAGAGACGCTTGAATCTCGTTTGCCAATAACGTACAAATCAGTATGGTGTATTTTTTTAATGTGAACGTACATTTTTTTTTTCAAATATTTTCTATATTCAATTTTTTTTTTTTTTTTTTTGGTCTCAGACTTGGTTTACTCTACAGTCAATAATCTAATATGATAATTACAAGCAAAGTAATGTCACATGGGAAATAATTTTTTTTTGCAAACAAAATGTTTGCGACCATTGTTTTTTTTTGAATATTTTGCAAATATTTGAAAAAAAAAAAAATTCTCCATTTCACAATATTCTCTCGCTGACTACGCCTTCTTATTTTAAAATTTCACATTCGATCTAATTTTTATATTCACAATTTTCATTATAGTTTTACAATTTCTCATTTCGAATTTTCTTTTTTAAAAAAATATTGCATCGAATTACAAGAGATCATAAATTTTTAGCGATTATATATTTTTTTTGAATATTAATTTTTTTCTGTACAATTGAAATAAATTACAATTTTTAAGAATAAGAATCGAATGTAAAATTTCAAAAATGGAAGCACGATCACTATATTTTCTTTTTTCTTTTTTTTCCCCCCATTCTTTCGCCCTTCCTCTCATCATTCGCGAAAATTTTCTCTCATTCTCTCTTCGCTATCGCTCTTTTATCTCTCTGCCTTCCTTCGATACAACGACGGATTAATAATAATAATAATAATAATAATAATAATAATTTTCTCGAAAAGCAGAAAGTATTCACCGGCTTTGTTTCATCGTTTCTCCGCGTCTGAGTTCCTGTATTTATCATTTTTTTTTACATACACCCAATTTTCCCGGGAGGGAAAGGAAAATTTTTTTTTTTTGCAAATTTTTTTTTCCTTTCATTCCCGTTCTCATTCGTTCAAAAAAAAAAAAAAAAGAAAAAAAACAATCACTCGATCTTATATTCGTAACGCGCTCGCACTTTTCGAAACTTGTCACATTTTTTTTTTTTTACTTTTTTTTTTTTTATATCATTTATCTTGATTTTGTCTCGATTTATTTAAAAAAATACTGAATTAACCAAGCTAAAATCACAGACTTGCTGGTCACTTTACCAGCGGGTTTGTACAAATTCTTCCTGAAAGGACTCTATGCATTATGTTACAATGTGTTTTTTCTTTTTTTTCACTTTTTTTTTTTAATAATATATATATGTATATATATAAGTATGTATATATAATGTATATATATTTATAATAATTACAATTCGTTCAAGAAATCCATATGCTCGCATTTATCGCTTTTTTTATCGTAACATATTTTTTTTTTTTTTTTTACATATATGTATACGCAACAAATTAATTAACGCCGTGTGTAAAAAAAATGGAACGTGCGTCAGTGTATGTGTCTTAGAAATTAAAAAAAAAAAAAATTTTTTTTAAATCAAAGAATTTTTTTTCCGATTTAGAAAAATCGAAAAGAAATTTCTTTTCAAATATTTAAACTGCGCTTTACAATATTTTTTTTTTTGTGCGCTCGCTGTGCTCGAAAGTGATCATAAAAAAAAATAATTGAAAAAAAAGAAATAAAAAAAAACCCGAAGCGACGAACGGCACCGACTTTCAGTAACGTTGAGATTTTCGTTATTATATTTTCGTTTTTTTTTTTTTATATAATCTCTGATTCTCGTTGATAATTCAGAGACAATTCTTTCATTTATCGTTGTCAATTTTTTTTTCTAAATTAAAATCCACACGAAAATCCCGACGTGTCGCCTACGAGTGCACGGTATTTTTTTTAAATGACGCGCAAACAATTTATAGGTTATGTTTAGTATCGAATCGATCATAACCTCGAAATTTTTTCCTTATAAAATTGAATTTAAAAAAAAAAAATGGCGCCGACTCTCTCTTTCGAAAAAAAAAATTTCCTACACATGCGCTCTTTTCAAAAAAAAAAAAAAAAAAATGAATATAAACAAGAGAAAGCTTTTCGGCCGGGAGTATTGATTGTACCGTGCGCCCGTGGCAACCAAATGAAACGTACTTCTGAATATAAATATATATACCTTCACATACATGCATATATGTATGCGTGAACAAAATACGTGAGCCAAACACTATGGCAATTGAGATCATGTAAAATTCTTTTTTTTTTTTTTACTATTTATTCTTCTTACACTGAAAAAAATTGAATTCACAGAAAATTAAAAGGCATTAAAATAAGCTGCAACGCTTCTTATTTTAATGCCTTTTAATTTTCTGTGTTCAAATAATCGATTACCATTATTAAATAAATATTTCTTTGTATCAAATAATTATTATTATTAGCACTGGTAAATATTTATTTGAGTCAAGTAAACGAGTATTTGAATTTTTTTTTTGCAGTGTACAACAAAAGAAGATAAGATCTGAGAAAAAGAAGACATTGCCATCGTGTTTGGTTGACACGTATATACACCCGCGTCTGGACATTAGGTCGTCGCATACGGAAATGACATTAGTCATTCGCAATTTCAAAAAAAAAAAAAAACGAATAAGTTTGCCTAAAAAGGCTCTTTTAATCGAAAAAGTAAATTGTCAATTCCTTTGGTTTTTTTTTATAATTCCAAAAGAAAAATATCGAAATTTTTCTCCCTCAGCAAATTGGCAAATTTTCGAAATCAATCATCACTAATTTTCAAATTTAAAGACTCCTAATTTCGGAAACTTTATTCGTTTTTTTTTCCACCTTTCTTTTTTTTTTTTTTTTTTTTTTTCTCAATCTTTGCACATAAACATTCACAAGTCACTCTCTCGGTCACTCGTTTGCTCCCATTTTCTCCGTATTCTTATTATAATCACAGACGTGGTTTTACTAATTGCTACGTACAAGAGCCTTTTTTCTTTTTTTTTGTTCTTCGACGTCGAGCGCGATAAGTTCCTTTCTCACTTTCTTTCATACTTCCCTAAATATATATGTGTATATATATAATATATAGAATCTGCAAAACTTCCGATTTTCTAGATTGGAGAAAACACATTGCCTTTCTTACAATTCAGACGGAACCGTATAAAAAAAGCGAAAAAGAGTATTTTATTTTATTTAAATACTCGATTACTTGACTAGAATCACAGAAAATTAAAAGGCATTAAAATAAGCTTCAACGCTTCTTATTTTAATCCATTTTGGTATTAAAATAAGCAAAATTGGAATAAAATAATAAGCGTTGCAGCTTAGTTTAATGCCTTTTAATTTTCTGTGATCAAATAAATATTTATTTGAATCAAATAATTATTTGGTTCTAGTAAATATTTATTTGATAATATTCAAGTAATCGAGTATTTGAATTAAATTTTTTTTTTCCTCGCTTTTGATTTTTTTTTTTTTTTGCAGAAAACCTTAAAGAAGGTTCAATCTCGAAACATGTAAAGAAATGTGCTTTGACTAGCTCTATACTTGCAATAATAATCGTTATGAAACGATATAATAATATATAGTTTTATCACTAAAATTCTGAGATAATCGAAAGTCTTGTAAAGCGTTAATTATATATATATTTTTTTATTTTTTATCACAATCTTTGTCCAAACTCACATGTACTCGGACAATAATAAATTGCCTACAATTACACGCCATGTATATATATATATATATATATATACTCGGAACAGAAAATCAGATGTAACCGGCGAGATTTTTTTTTTATCGATTTCTCTTTTCGAGTCAAAGTTACATATACATATATAGATTGCGTATCTTTAAAAAATAGTCTATTGACTTTACTGACAGAAAAGATGATCGAATAATGGAATTTTTGAATCAAATTTTAATAATCAACACGAAAAGAGATAATCGGTGTAACGAAGCTCGTATGTGCATTTGTGAAAATTATTTCCGTTATCATTTCAAGGCTCCTGATTGGAAGCTTCAATTGAGAAACTAATGATGAACTTCACAACGTTGGGATTTTATTTAGAAATTTTTTTTTTCATTTTTTCTTTTTCTTTGAAGTCTTTTGCAAATTTTTATTAATCAACGAAATTTAAAATAAAATTTTTTCACAATAATTTAAAAGTATCAAATTGATACTAAAAATATCAATTTGATATTTTTAGTATCAATTTGATACTTTTAAATTAATGTGTTTTCAAATAAAAAGTTTGATAAAGGTATTTGTTTAAAAATCGTTGTGGAGCTCATCATAAATTATTGTATTGGTGGAAAAATCTTTATTAAATTTAAAATAATGCATATAAAACAAATATGCAAATTCTCCAAAATTGGAAATAGTTAAAATTTTCAGGTAATTTGAATTAGGTGACTCACTTTTTGCTTTTGTATTAGTAAAATACTAAATTAGTAAAATATTAAATTAGTATAATACTGAATTAGTATTTTACTAATTCACAAGCAAAAAAGTGAGTCACCTAATTCAAATTACCGAAACTTTTTACTTATTCAGATTTAGGGTACTAAATTTAAATTACATTAAATTCTCATTTTATATTAACAAAAACCGCAAAATAAATAGAAAATAATAGAATAGAATACAATTAGAATAATAGAATATTTCAAAACTAATTTTACATATTTGCTTCATAGAAACAATCGGTGAAGTTTGTCAACATTTTTGATCAACGATCAAAAATATTTTTCAATCTATATGAAAAATAACATTTTTTGCCAACAAATTTTTCTTCCTTTATTGATCAAGAAACAAACGTTCAAACCAAAAATTTATGGATTTTATTTTATATTTATAATTTGTGTAGAAATTTAATAATTTCTGCAAAAATAAATATCTTATTTTTTAAAATGTTTTGGTAGCGTTTTTAAGACATTAAAACATCTTAATGTCTTAAAAACGCTACCAAAACATCAAATAAGATACTTCTTTTTGCAGCGAATTTCTAGAACACTATTTTTTTCTGAATCGTTGATCATAAACATTAAACCGATAAAATTTAAAAGATTTTTCCAACATCTGCTTCATTAATTTTGTCAAAATATTCTTCATTAGGAACATAGACAATTGTTTCATTCATATTTACAAATCAAAATATTTGATTAAAACCAAAACAAAAAATATTTGTTTTCGTCTTACCTCCTAAAAAAAAAAGGAAACCTTATAAAGGTTTATAATTAAAGTTTGTCGTTAGGACAAAAAAAAATGAAATTTGCACTGAAAAATAAACACTAATATTTACACAATTTAAATTCATTTCACAATATACGAATTTCGTTTACACCGAGACGTTTTTATTCACATTTTTGAATTAATCGAGATCTTTCACTGAATCATTATTTTCTTTTTTTCATTCTCATTCACACATACAATTTTTCTTTCTTTCATTCTTTCACAAAAACTTTTACACCAAAAAATTACTCTCCCTTCGCGAAGAAAATCACAGTTGTTTCAAAAGGATTATAATATACACAATTTCCGGCGATAAGCGCGCACGCACGTAGTATCTAGCATTTGCTAATAGCGCTAGTGCGTGCACACATACGGCACTTACAATATACAACGTTCATATATATATTTACATATAAACGCGCATAGGTCAATTACACACGTAAATATATCGAAGCAGTCGATTTCTATAGGATTTTATATGTTGATTTTAAAAAAAAATCCCACCGAGCGACGAAAGAAATACCTTCCAAAAAATGGAAAATTGATGATGATGATGATGATGATGATAAATAACTGGAACGGTGTATTTCCGCTGAGTAGACGCTGAGAAGTAGGACTAAGAGGAAGGATCAGCGAGAAGGCAGGCATAACGACAAAAAAAATCAGTAATAAAATCACTGGTTAGGACACAAAAAGTGTCTTCTCCCTATACATCAAAATTTTTCTTGTTTGGTCTTCGAGGGTTTTTTTTTAGGGGGAAAAAAAAAATTGGCCCAATATATTATTTGGGATGCTGAGATCATAAAGAAGTAGTAGTAGTAGTAGTAGTAGTAGTGTGGTTCCTAGGCCGAGCAACAAAGCTCGTCTTTTAATTATTCCTTAAGAAGACATAAATCAGCGACGAGATCGCACGGCTGAGGAGACGGATGGCGAGAAGGGGATCCTGTTTTGGATCGTTAAACGATCTGTGCGAAGATCGGGACGGAAATTTTGTTGTTCCGTCGCGGTACTTCGGAATGGAGTTGTTCAACTTGACACAAATGCTGCGATTTGCTCGCTAAATTGCGGATATTCAAGTAGCAATGAATCTTTGCAACTTTCAAATTGTTGTTGTTGTGGATGATGATGTTGAATATGCTCTTGAAATTGTTGACTCTGCTGTTGACTGACATCTTGTTCGTTAGTTGTTTTTTCATACAATACACAAATCGAGCCATTTTCACCAATTCGATACGATACTTCAGCGGGATCAATCCACATTGTAAATTCCGATGGGAATAAACTATGAAGAACTGTTGGTACAAGACCAACATTTGCACCGGCTTGCGCTATCACTGGATCCATTTTACCATTGATTCTAATGCAACGATAGCCTGAGCCTCGATTTGGCCTATCGGGGAACCAATGATCCCTATATCGTCTCTTGAGAACCTCTGTCAACGACGTTTTGAATAATTCAAGTTGTCGTTCTGTCACTTGGCCCGTCTGCATGCGCAGCAGATCAACGAGAAAATCTGCCGCTGAAACAATTTCCAGCCTCATGATGTTAATTTTTGATTGGAAAACAGGATGGAAAATAAAATCTTTTCTTCACTGAAACTTTCACCCCCTGGTATTAGGGATTTCTACATAAAATCCAATTCCACTTGTCAGTGATTGTGATAATCATCCACTCACTTGTTTAGTAGCCAAATTTTTTTGTTTCCTTTTTTGATTTAGAACAAAAAATAAAATTTCTTGCCTCGCACACGACAAAATGGCGTCGTTTCACGTCGTAGCGATAGACTCGACCAGCAGCGCGACGTCTCCACTCCAGCGGCCCAGCCAACTTATTTTGCCCTCGGTCTATCGTCTAGACGTCTCTCTTGATAAACGAAAACTACACAATACACTTTTTTTTTAATCTTCTTAAAATTTTTTTTACTCTCCTGTCGCGCGAATCGGTCCCCTTTTTTTATCAAATCACCGCGTATTCAAGTCTCTTTCACTATTTTTATATGAAATTATTATAACCAAACTGGAAACGTCCAAGCCGATTTTCTTGACGCGACACTTTTAGACACTCCAAACACACGAGAACCGCACCCTCCGACAGGCGATGACTTTCTAATGGTAGCAGACCTCGGTTTCGATGGGGAAGCTTCGCCTCTTTGTTCACAGTTGGCCAAAGTGGGGTGGCATCACTTTCAGCCAATGGGAATATTCAACTTTGGGTCATGTGACTGTAACGATGCGTCAAACCCAGTGCGCAATATCAGTCTTTGCCGCAGCTGCGTCCCGATTACAAGTACATATATATATATGTATATACATTTCGCGACTTCTCATCTAAACCCTACGGCTATAGCGTTTCCCAGACAGAGGTTCTCAATTCAAGGATCCGTCATGTCTCGAGAGACGATAACATACAAACACACACATGTGGAGGGAAAAAAAAAACAACATGCGTCACGTCACCCGAGGACAACGCTCGACTATGACTATTGTGGGGGGAATCAACTATATTGGTCTTAGTTCGAAATTATGGAAAATTCAAAATTTTTTTTTTTTATTTACACAAGACTTAATAGTTTTGATTATGTCTTTATGTATTTTTTTACTTCAAACTATCATGAACATAACCTAGAATTTTTTTTCTCCTAATGTCCCTTTCTTTAGTGATCAATTGAAAACCGATAAAAACTACTGCAAAACTGATCAAAATTGACTAAATTAAAGAATTTATTAGATTTTTTTCTACTTCACAGAATTCTTAAGTATCGAATTTTTATTTGTCCGAAATTGCAAATGTCCGAACAATCAACAGAAAGATTTCGGCGAGATTTTGAAAACCAACCAGAAATTTTCACGAAAATCGTGATTAGTGAATTTATAAAAATCGCACCGAAATCAATTGTTTATTTTGCAATTTGTAATTTAGGACAATTAAAAATTTGATACATACACAGAGAAAACTAAAAAACGAATAAAATTAATTTTACTACTTCAAAAGTGAACTATAGGAACTTTCGGCAGTTTCTGTGCATTTCTGTCAGTTTTTAATTCAGAAATAGTAAAATTTACTATTTTCGGAATAATTTTTACTACTTCAGGAGTAAATTTTACTATTTCTAGAGTAAAACTTGCCAGAAATGCGCAGAAACTACTATTTTCGGAGTAAATTTTACTATTTTCGGAGTAAATTTCATTATTTCTGAAGTAAAAATTGCCAGAAATGCGCAGAAACTACTATTTTCGAAGTAAATTTGACTATTTCTGGAGTAAAACTTGCCAGAAATGCGCAGAAACTATTTTCGGAGTAAATTTTACTATTTCTGGAGTAAAAATTGCCAGAAATTCGCAGAAACTACTATTTTAGGAATAAATTTTACTATTTTCGGAGTAAATTTCATTATTTCTGAAGTAAAAATTGCCAGAAATGCGCAGAAACTACTATTTTAGGAGTAACTTTGACTATTTTCGGAGTAATTTTAATTATTTCTGAAGAAAAAAATTTTAGGAGTAAATTTGACTATTTTCGGAGTAAATTTAACTACTTCAGGAGTAAATTTCACTATTTTTGGAGTAAATTTCTTTATTTCTGTAGTAAAAATTGCCAGAAATACACAGAAACTACTATTTTAGGAGTAAATTTTACTATTTTCGTAGTAAATTTTATTATTTCTGAAGTAAAAATTGCCAGAAATGGGCAGAAACTATTATTTTAGGAGTAAATTTGACTATTTTCGGAGTAAATTTCATTATTTCTGAAGAAAAAATTTTAGGAGTAAATTTGACTATTTTCGGAGTAAATTTAACTACTTCAGGAGTAAATTTCACTATTTTCGGAGTAAATTTTACTACTTCAGGAGTAAATTTCACTATTTTTGAAGTAAAAATTGCCAGAAATGCGCAGAAACTACTATTTTAGGAGTAAATTTCATTATTTCTGAAGTAAAAATTGCCAGAAATGCGCAGAAACTATTATTTTAGGAGTAAATTTCATTATTTCTGAAGAAAAAATTTTAGGAGTCAATTTGACTATTTTCGGAGTAAATTTAACTACTTCAGGAGTAAATTTCACTATTTTCGGAGTAAATTTTACTACTTCAGGAGTAAATTTCACTATTTTTGAAGTAAAAATTGCCAGAAATGCGCAGAAACTACTATTTTAGGAGTAAATTTCATTATTTTTGAAGTAAAAATTGCCAGAAATGCGCAGAAACTATTATTTTAGGAGTAAATTTCATTATTTCTGAAGAAAAAATTTTAGGAGTAAATTTGACTATTTTCGGAGTAAATTTTACTATTTTCGGAGTAAATTTTACTACGTCAGGAGTAAATTTTACTATTTCTGAAATAAAAATTGCTAGAAATGCGCAGAAACTACGGACAGTTCCGATTTTACTTTTAAAGTAGTTAAAAACTACTCTATTCGTTTTTCTATTTTTTTCCGTGTATAAGAAATTCTGTTAAAAAAATTTATTTAAAAAAAAATTCTGTCAAATTTTAACTGAAAAAATGAAAATGAGTCCAAAAAAAATAATTATAATTTGGTTAAAAGTAATAAGAATTATAGGTTATGTTTATGTTTTATATGTATACCTTGATTAAAAGTTCCTGTTTTAATTATGAAAAATCAAAATTTTTTATTGTAACGAAGGCAAATAGTTTCTATCATCCCTCTGTGTAGTTTCACTTCAATCATAAACATAACCTAGAATTTTTTTGTTTTTTAGGTCCCCTTATTTAGAGTATGTAACATATATATGAAAGTGGAAAAAAATATATAAAACGACTAAATTCGCTTAAATAAACAATTAATTAAAAGCAAAAACAATGATAAATAATAATTATAAGAAAAATTGTATGACAAAATACGAGATATAAATGTAAATATGAATATTCATTATTAATCTTTTTATACAAGATAACAGAAAAAAAACATAATTTTCCAAAAGAAGCACGTATTTCGTGATTATCCAAAAAGATATAGTTAATAACAATCAATAAAATTTTCGACAATAATATTTTTTTTTTTCACTTATTGTCTTTTAATGATACAATGTTTAATGATACAATTCATAATTGTTATTTAATATAAAAAAAAACTTTAATAATAAATTATATTTAAGGTGACAAATAAGATATCTCAAATACAACCAAAAACAAAAAATATTCTAGAATAAATAAATTAATAATTACGTTTAAGAAAGTAATAAAATAATCAAATAAATAAATTAAAATCATTGAAAAATAATTCCCGAATAAAAAAATTAAATAATTGTTAACAACAATAATTATTTATTTTTATGTGATTTTGATTTTTGATTCTATTTTTGATTCTGCGCATAAAATTTAATTAGTCTTTTGATGACTAATTTCGAGTTCGTGAAATCATCATCATCGCATCAGTCACGTAGGACTTTTATTAACAAAATAAAATAGACATTGTACTGTTTTTTTTAGTCAAGAAACATTAAAAGTATAGTATATGATAGGTCATTAAAGAGCATTGCTCAGCTTGATAAATAAATTAAATTATAATGCAAGTGCGTACGAGTAATTGACTATTCAACTGAGTCGAACAAAGCCATAGAGGTCATATATATAGCTATATATATATATATATCTTTTATATTGTCAATTCAAATTGATCAATATTGTAAGATCAAGGCCCATTTTTAGAATTCTGCTATTTTTAAACATAAAACTTTTTTTTTACATAACCGTTAAGAAAAATCTAAAGAACGAAAATTTCAAATAAATTAAAATCGAGTAAGAAATTTTTTTCTAAATAAGATTATATATATATATATATATATATTTTCCTTATCGATCTTGTGTCATACATAGTTGTCTGTTAATCCAACTACACTTTTATAAAAGAAAATTTCAGATGACAATATTCACTTATTTTCTTTGAAATTACAATTTACGCGGACATCAGATAAGATATAGCGCTTAAAGCGATAATTGGAATAAACTTTATTTTTCTATTGACGTCAGTGAAAGAAAAAGAAAAAAATTTTAAAGAAACTTTTTTTAAAATATTAATTTTTTTTTTTTTTGTAAAATAAAGAAATTGATTGAAAAAATATAATAAAATTAATATTTGATGAAATTTTTCAATAATTTTATTATCTAATCAAATTTATATCGAAAATAATTAGAAACGTACAATAGAAATTCAAGTATCTTAATATAATAATGAAGAATCTATTTTGGTTTCTGGAAAAGCCCGGAATTTTTGAATGCTAGAGAGAGAGTAATCATTTATATTTGATTGACATCAATATTTATAGAATTCAATTTCGAAAAAAGATTTTGGGTTTTTTTTTGTATTTAATGCAATTCCACTTTCATCATAAAAAAAAATCTGTAACCAAAAATTATCATTTGTATTTTTCTTTTATTTTAAAATAATTATTATTTATGAGAAATAATTATTTTCTTTAACAAACTATTATGAACTTTTTTTAATCAAAATATAGAATAATTACCTTCAACACTCAGAAAAATGGTATATTTGTCTCTGAGCCTACTAACTCATTTATTTGTTGCAAATATATTTCATTTCATTGAAATAAAAAATTTATTTGAGCCAAAGAAAAATTTATTTCTGACAAATAAAATTTTTATTTACGCCAAATAAATAAGTTAGTAGGCTCTGAGACAAATATACGTTTATTTAACTCAAATATATTTTATTTGGTTCAAATAAATCATTTCTCTGGGTGAAACATTATAATAATCTAGAGGACCAATTATATTCAAAATCACTATTATGCAAATTTTTTTTAACTCTTCTAACTAACTTTTGAACAAGCCAAAAATAAGTTTGTTTTGTCAAATTTCAAATTTTTAAGATTAAAAAAAAAAATTAGTTAAAAATAACTAATTTGATAGTAAAAATTCAGTAACTGATTGAAATATAGTAATATTTCTAATCTTTTTAGTTAAAATTAACGGCGTTTCATTTTATAATAGGGCAGTCTGATCCGGCCCCGATCTGGGCCTTGGCAAAATTTCTACACGGATAAGTATAGAGCATTGATCGCTAACAACTTAGGAAAACTTGACAAGGCCCTGTTAAGTTTTTCCTTAATTAGGGCGTTAGTCGGGAACGACCTTCTTAGGCCCTAG